TATGTATGTATGTATGTATGTATCAATCTATCTAATGTTGTTCATATCTATCCATCTATTTATCTATATCTGTTCATAATTATTTATCTGTACATACCTATCGCTCTCAGTGTTCATATCTATCTCAGTCTGTTCATTATCTATATATCTATTTATCTATCTATATCTGTCTTTTCATAACTATCAATCTATCAGTCTATCTAAGCTTGTTCATCTCCCTCTCTCTCACACTATCTATCTATCTATCTCTCTATCTATCTATCTACGTCTGTTAGTATATGTCTATAATAGTTTATTCATTATATATGTTTATATCTATGTATCTATCTCAGCTGCTCATTATCTATCTATCTATCTATCTATCTATCTATCTATCTATCTATCTAAGCTTGTTCATATCTATAGATCTGTTTGTTCATTTCTATCTATCTATCTATCTATCTATCTATCTATCTATCTATCTCAGTATTCATATCTATGTCAGTCTGTTCATTATCTATTTATCTATCTACATCTGTCTTTTCATCAATATCAATCTATCAATGTATCTATTTAAGCAATTTCATATCTATCTATCTATCTATCTATCTATCTATCTATCTATCAATGTCTTAATATCTATCTATTTTTCCTTATCTATGAATATATCTATGTATCTCTTTCAGTCTGCTCATTATCTATCTATCTATCTATCTATCTATCTATCTAAGCTTTATCATATCTATCGATCAATTTGTTCATTTCTATCTATCTATCTATCTATCTATCTATCTATCTCAGTCTGTTCATTATTTATATATTTATTTATATATCTATATCTGTCTTCATGAATATCAATCTATTTATGCATGTTCATATATTTATATCTTTCTCTCTATCTATCTAGCTATCTATTTATCTATCTGTTAAGGGGTCCACTCCTTTTTATACAAATGAACTCACCCAGTATATAAATATACTACTGCTACGGTAAGACGAGAGCAAGACAGAGCAAGACCGAAAAGCCGAGTCCAGAGTAAAAGATTGTAGATAGCCGGAAGAGTGAGGGTGAGGTAACAGCGTTGTAGGAGTCACAGTGAGCGAGCACGTAGACTCAGTAAGTCATACAGCGATGCTTCAATACCAAAGACTGTATATATATTTTGCTACTAACCCGTATTGCTGGAACTACTAACCTGTATTACCAGTTTGTATCATTACGCTAATACATTATTTCCCTATATTCATTCTTGGTGTTTGTTATTTATTTGTATCGGATTTCAATCCGGAATCCACAACACTATATCTATCTATCTATCTATCTATCTATCTATCTATCTATCTATCTATCTATCTATCTATGTCTGATAATATCTATCTTATTTTATTCATTATCTATGAATATATCTATGTATCTATTTCAGTCTGCTCATTATCTATCTATCTATCTATCTATCTATCTATCTATCTATCTATCTATCTATCTATCTGAGCCTGTTCATTATTTATGCATCCATGTATGTATGTATGTATGTATGTATGTATCATTCTGTCTAATGTTGTTCATATATATCCATCTATTTATCTATATCTGTTCATAATTATCTATCTGTTCATATCTATCGATCTCAGTGTTCATATCTATCTCAGTCTGTTCATTATCTATATATCAATTTATCTATTTATATCTGTCTTTTCAGAACTATCAATCTATCTAAGTTTGTTCATATCTCTCTCTATCTCTCTCTCTGTCTGTCTGTCTATCTATCTATCTATCTATCTATCTATCTATCTATCTATGTCTGTTAGTATCTGTCTATATTAGTTTATTCATTATATATGTTTATATCTATGTATTTATCTCAGCTGCTCATTATCTATCTATCTATCTATCTATCTATCAGATAGTCTTCAAACGAATAGTTCTAGCCTCTCTTTTCGTATCCATTTTATCATCCATAGCTCCACACATTACTGATTCCAGTCTCCGCCTATGAGGTGATCAATGAAGCCTCATGCTGGGCTTCTTGTTGATCCGCTACTATAAGCTGATGCGCAACTTTTTGTTTACTTATCCAGCAATGGCCACCAAACGACTAATCTCTCTTCCCAGAAGCTTTTCGAAGCTCATTGTGTTCTACATTTGGTAAAATATATTTTATTTCCAGCTGACAATTAACGCTCAATGGTTGATTATCCGTACACACCATCTGTAGATAATAATATTCTTTCTTGCCAGACGGAAGCTCTCAACCCAAATCAACAAATCAATGAAAAACTCTCGGTCGGACCAAGACATCATGACACGCAATATATCTGATGTTTTCTTATTTCGAGATCCACACGCGCAGATACACACACACGCATACATTCATACATACACATCTATCTATCTATCTATCTATCTATCTATCTATCTTAATTTTGTCAAATTTTCTTAATTACACAGCAGCCCTTTCAGTAAATGCCCTTCAGTTTTAGTTTCCCCGCCCCATCTCTCCCCCCACCGCCTTTTCTTTTCTTTTCCTCTCCCTCCCTCTTCTTCTGATCTTTAAGATTAGATCGTCTATATTGTGTGTGTATGTCACAACAAAATGAATCCTTTCCGGTTACATCTTTAATGTATTAGACATCCGACAACATTCATATTTCTCTCACTTAAACCGTCTTTGACACACCTCTCTAAAACTCCTCTCTGCTAAGTTTTAATCTCCCACCTTCTCTCGTCTGTTACCCCTCTCTTTAGCTCTAACATTCGTCCCACACTCTCATACTTACACTCTCTCTAAATTCTATTTTTATTTCCGGAGTTGTTTTTTTCTGTTTTCTTTTTGGATTTGTAGGTCTGATGAACTGGATCGTATTTACGATTTCAATGGAATAAATTATGACCATGGAATATTAGTGCTTAAGCCTTTTTTATATATATATATATATATATATATATATATATACATGAAAATTTTCTCCGATTTAACCACACGTGACAAATACTGACGTTATTTTCAGTTAACAATATGAAAATAGCGTTTCTCTACATTCCAGTTGCTAGGAACATTTTGTTTTTGTTTTAAATTAGTTACCTTGTTCAGTTAAATTAATTTCGTATTTTGCTTTGATAATTTCCACAGTGGACGAAACGCGTCAGCAATTACGAGTTTTCCTATTGTCATTTTTATTCATATATATATATATATATCCATCCTCAAACGTTCATTATCTATCTATCTATCTATCTATCCTCAAACGTTCATATCTATCGCCGTCAGTGTTCATATCTATCTATCTGTCTATCTATCTATCTATCTATCTATCTCAGTCTGTTCATTATTTATATAACTATTTATCTATCTATATCTGTCTTTTCATAACTATCAGTCTATCTAAGCTTGTTCATATCTTTCTGTCTGTCTGTCTCCATCTATCTATCTATCTATCTATCTATCTATCTATCTATCTATCCTCAAACGTTCATATCTATCGCTGTCAATATTCATATCTATCTATCTATCTATCTATCTATCTATCTATCTATCTATCCTCAAACGTTCATATCTATCGCTGTCAATATTCATATCTATCTATCTATCTATCTATCTATCTATCTATCTATCTATCCTCAAACGTTCATATCTATCGCTGTCAATATTCATATCTATCTATCTATCTATCTATCTATCTATCTATCTATCTATCTATCCTCAAACGTTAATATCTATCGCTGTCAATATTCATATCTATCTATCTATCTATCTATCTATCTATCTATCTATCTATCTCAGTCTGTTTATTATTTATATATCTATTTATCTATCGGTCTATCTGTCTATCTATCTAAACTCGTTCATATATTTCTCTGTCTCTATCTATCTATCTATCTATCTATCTATCAGTCTGTTTATTATTTATATATCTATTTATCTATCAGTTTATCTGTCTATCTATCTAAACTCGTTCATATATTTCTGTCTCTCTATCTATCTATCTATCTATCTATATTAATATCTATCTATCTAACTTAGTTTATTCATTATCTATTTTCATATCTTTTATCTATCTCAGTCTGCACATTATCTATCTATCTATCTATCTATCTATCTATCTATCTATCTATCTATCTATCCTCATACAAAGACTTTGTTACATTCTCTTACGCACAAATACTTTTGAGGAAGGTATCGATTCATCTACTCCCCACCAGCTATAGGTTAAATAATATAACTTGTATATTGGAAAATCTTGGTTATTCGAAAAATAAATTTTTCATGCAACATACACTCGCAAAAAATTATTAAAATCCAAAACTATATTTCGACTTTAAATGACCCATAAAGTGTTGATGAGCCGTAAAAAACAAATCAGTCAATTAACTCATTGATGATACTGGAATCAGAAAGGAAAAACTAATTAGATTTACGGATGAGAAGAATAGTTGGAAAGAAATGGTCAGAAGTATTCGTTTGAGGATGAGGAGATAAGTGAATGTAACGAACCCGACTGGAATTCGAACTCGGTTCTCCGATTTATCGTTCCTGAGCGGCCGTCCATTACACCAGCTGCACATCCTAAACGATGAAGTTTCTCGCTGGCTTATCTCTTGAAATATTCCTGTAATTTGGGTCCTATTTTATCAGATGATGCGCGACCTTTTGTTTTCTTCACCAGCAATGCCTACTAAACCACAATCTCTCTTCTTGCAAACTTTTCCTAGATTCCCATTCATAGGTTATATATTGTTTCCAGCTGACGACGCTCATCTCAATCATCGATTATGTTGTTTTTTTTCTACTTTTTTCATAGATTCTAGTATTATTGGCCTCTTCATTTTTTTCAACTTTTCCCCGAATTACGACAGTCCCGACCTACGACAATTCGTGGTTACGGCGCAATCGTCATTGTTTCGACTTATGCCGTTTGTCTTGTACATACGACTTAAATTTCCGGGAAAAAAGCAAAAAAATAAAAGCGGGTATCTTCCCCATATTTGCTGCTGCTTCCGAGTACTGCAAGAGAGATGAGATCTTACGCTTCACCATCTCATCGACCGAGAGTCAATTCTGTCAGTTATATGCCATGCGTGATACACGCTTAGGCGATCATGTATCTTTCCATACATGACTGACAAGTCTGTTTTTTTTTGCAGCAGTAGGTTGCCATTTCTTTCTGTGGTAGACCAGTTGCCATTAAAGTCTATAGAATCCTCTCTGTCCTGCTATTTACCCATAGCTGGTGGGGGAGAAGAAGAGGATTCATATTTTTCCCTAAGGGTGAGAGAATATAATGGATTCGACTGGAAAGTCAGTCAGTCTTGATACACGCTTACGCGATCATATATCTTTCAATACATGACTGATGTGGCCATTTCTTTCTGCGGTAGACCAATTGCCATCCAAGGCTATAGAATCCGGTCTGTCCTGCTATTTACCCATAGCAGGGGGAAGGAGAAGAGGATTCATATCTTTCCCAAGGGTATTAGTGAATATAAGGGATTCGACTAGAATTCAAACTCGTCTCCGATTCTTCAAACCGAGCCGCTATCCATCACCCCACCGGTGCCTCCAATGACATTACTGGCAATAAATATAAAAGCAGCTTAAAACAATGTCATTTCATTATATCTATTATATTTATATACTCCACGTGTTTTTTCAGCGCTTATTATGTTAAGATATGTCATAGAAATGTGTTGTTATCTCTTAGATTATTACTTTACTATTTCTTTACCACGTGTGAATGAGGTAAGGGCTATTTAACAGGAAATCGCAAGTACTTTCAGACTTACACAGAAAATTACATTACGACGCATCGTAAGAACGGAGCTGTATCGTAAGTCGAGGAACCGTTGTATATATTTTTGTTATGAGCTCAATTATGATCACAGATTTAAAAAAAAAAAAAAAAAAGCCACTCAATTTAGTCACTTTAGAATGTTATAAAAAATCTTTCGGTTTTAAAGATTCAAATTCTGTTTTACCATCATTTATATGGAATCCTATTTGTTGTATCAAATTTTAATTCAAGAAGAAACAATTATGCTTGTTGAAAAACGTTGGATGCAAAATTGATTTCATAGTAACGCGCAGTGTGTAAATTACGCTCACGAATAGTTTGTAACACATTATTAATCGTCCCTCAGTTGCGTGCCTGTCTTCGGGCAGAGTGCCCTCAGGGGCAGCCCCGACTAAGGACAACGTCGCAACTGGGGAAAATTATACTGAGAGGTGTTCAGCCCTGGGGAACAGCTGCCCGAGGCCGTGCCCTCTCATTGCACCAGAGACAGGGATCAGTGTTTGCATCGAGGCCAGCGCAACCGACGGCTGCGAGCAATTTTTGTTCCTAGCCTGGCTATAAGCGCTCGGGTCCCCACCTTAAAAACCAACCTTGTGTCACAACTAATATTTGTGGGGAGACAGAGTAAATAGTTAGTGTGTAAATTACTCTCACGAGTAGTTTGTAACACTGTTATGGTCCAGTTCCTTGTACCACGGTGATAGTCCAAGGTAGAACCAATAAAGAAGAACTCGAACACGGATATGGAATAACACAGATATATTACAAACAGAAATATATACAGAGAAATAGAAAGTGTTAGTACGAACTGACGGACCTCACTCCAGATTTCAGACTGAACGGTATTTAGTCACCCCGCCCACGAGGGCATCATGTGGCACAAGGCCGGTTTAACGTGGGATCTCCGAGAGCTCGGCCAAAAATATACCCTTTGAACCCGTATAAACGGGTTCAGGGTCGGTTTACCTCTCCGAAAGAGACTCCGCCCTTCGGCGTAGCCTCGTTTGGGTTCCGCCCCGCCCGAAGGCAGATAGTTCAACCAATCAGCCGGTCAGCCGGTCGCCCGACTTCGGACTGAACGATATTCAGTCACCCTCCCACGAAGGCGTCATGTGGCACAAGGCCTTTTTAACGTGGGATCTCCGAGCCCGTGGGCTCGGCCAAAAATATACCCTTTGAATCCGTATAAACGGCTTCAGGGTCGGTTTACCTCCCCGAAAGAGACTCCGCCCTTCGGCGTAGACTCGTTCGGGTTTCTCCCCGCCCGAAGTTAGAGAGTTCAACCGATCAGCTGATCAGCCGGTCGCCCGACTTCGGACCGAACTCTCTGCTTCCTTTTGAGGCGCAGTATTTATTACGTAGGGAATAGTCCATTATGTTCTTATGGATAAGGTCACATAACAGACACCTTATTTATCATTTCTCTGTTGCGTCTCTGTCTTCGGGCAGTGTGCGCTCAGGGGCGGCTCCGTCAAAGTGCAGAGGGGAGGAGAGTAAATACCTAGTGACGCGCGATGCGTCATATGACTGCTACAGACTATAAACCGTGCGTCACTAAATATCTTGTCGAACGTGTGACATCACGTAACCCTGAAGAAATATACCTAAGGTTTACAATGCATTTAAAAATATGAAAAAATATACTTCAAGCTTTCATTTTAGTTTGAATTTCAAGCTAATACATTAAATTTAATATTTCCAATAACCAAATACTTCGCTCTATTTAAAACCGAATTTAAATTGATTGGAATTATTATTTTAGATTGCTAAAATCGACTATATTGACAAATCTGACACAAAACAATTCTCTTAATTAATGTGAATTAAAATAAATATTACTTAGTTTTAGTTTAAAATACCGTTGAAAACATTATTAACCCCGAGGTAGATGTTTTTATGATGTGTTGGTAGAGTTATCGATAACATAGTGTTTGACATTTTTAAGAAAAGGGTCCTTAAATGTATAAATTACTTGACGAACATAACGTGGACGCCTTTTATTTATATATATATATATATATATATATATATATATATATATATATATATATATATGTATGTATGTATGTATTAAATAAAAACAGACCATTTTAAGGTTCCATGTAATAAATTATTTCACCACAACCTTTTAAAGGATTGCGGATCATCAGACTTTACTTCCAAAGGTTGAAACGAAAAATGAAAAGAAATTTACACATTTTTGACGGGCCGTATTAAGCATATGTAAATTAACGAAGTGAGGAAGTGAGGGGGGGAGAGAGAAGACATGAGTGAGTTAAATGTAATTTAATATTTATATTCTTTCATACTTAAAATTACGTGAGAAGGTCCAGACATTGACACAATTAAACGGTTAACGGAAGTTATATTGATATAAAAAGGGGTGGAGGAGAAAAACGTCATAAAAAGAAAAAGAGAGAAGGAAGTCATGAGAGAAGGTGTCACTAATTTTCTTTGGAAAAATAACAGGCTAGAAAATGACGCTGTCATTTTGCTTTACTTTGAAAGTGTTATTTTGGGGGTTCATAAAGATTATAATGTTGGATATAAATTTGAATGTCTAAACTGACTACAAAGAATTTAATTTGATGTTTGTTAGTGATTTAAATTTTTTTAAAATTTTGTGGATTTTCTATGAAATAGTCGATTAGAAAAATATTCATATAAAGTACATGAAAAGAATAAAATTTTATTTTAAAACGTAAGTTTACTTCTAGTAATCTTTTTTATGTTTTTAAATTTTTTTAAAAAAATATTGTCTATTAAGTTAACATCTCTATCCGTTTGAATTTTGTTCATGAATTTAACTCGTGACTGTTTTTATATGGGTAATCTTTTTCCTTAAGTTACTTTTAGTTAAGTTGAGATTACTGGATAGTTAAATATATATATATATATATATATATATATATATATATATAACTATCCAGTAATCTTAAAAAAAATATGAAAATATTCTAAGTATATGTTTTATTGAATTTTATATACTTTGGTTTTTATAGTTTTAATTACGAATACGACTATTGAGGAAATGTTAGAAAATTACCAATTACCAGTTACCACACTTATTTTCTGATAATGTTGTGTAAGGACATCCGTATTTACAAAAATGGATCATTTATACACACAAAAAAATTCAAAATTCTTATAAAATACTAGGGGTCGTTGAATTGCAGTAAGCTTTATGAATAGTAAATATAGTTTTTACTTAATAACAATATCAGCTAACCGTTACAAATTAATGCAGGATTTAAAACATTTAAAAATTTATAAATAATTTTTGTTGAATTAAAAGTATTCTTGAAAAACATCATTATTCCCCTAAATAATATTAAGACAATAATGTTGATAATATATCTTATTCATAAAAATAATTAAAAGATTTTCTAATTAAATACCGTTTTAGTTTTATTGACT